TGTGTTAGAAAATATATTTTTGTGTTTTTTTTTAGAAAATAACTTAAGTGTTAAAAGTAATTAAAAAAACCTAATTTCTAATTCATTTTAATTAATAAAAACCTAAAGTCTAATTAATTAAGGAAGATTAATTGGTTAATTAGAAAAATAGATAATTAAATGGAATGAAAAAAACAAGGGTTGGAAAAATTGAGAAAATAAGATGCGTGGGATGGGGGTCGAACCCACGCCCTTCCCTTCACCAGTCAATATCTTACCACCGCACCACCTTTTGTTGCTTGCTATTAAATTAAGTATCATTCAAAATATAAACAACTTAAATGAATATGTGTGTTTTGGAAAAGATGAGAGAAAAAAATGTTGAAGCTGGGACTCGAACCCATGCCCTTACCTATACTATACAGGGCCCTTACTAATTGTGCCATTACTGTTTCTTATTACTTAGATGTGAATAAAAATATATATAATAAAATCAACTTCAAATATAATCAAATAAAAAAAAGAAACGCATGCAGGCCCGGAAGTATTTGAAGGGGCGAATCAGATGACTTATAACTGCCATGCAAGCCATTGACCACCCCTGTAAAAGTCAGACTGTCCGGAGGTGGTGGAAACCACTGTCTTCTCTGGCGGTCACCCTGGAAAAATTCCTCAAATAAAAAAAAGAAATATGCTATCTTGCTTAAAATTTCCTTCTGAACTCAAATCTGAACTCAAAAAGGGAAAAAGGTTGGCGAAACAAGAGATTCGAATGCAAGTTCAGTGGATTCCCTAACAATGGAAAGTCCTTGTTCCTGCGCTAAAGCTCACATATTATGCATCAAACTTGTTCTAATGATGTATATGAACACATGTGGATGCATCAAATTGTTTAACAATGCATAAATTAAAGTTTTGAATTTGAAAAAAGTTACCAAAACCAGTGAAGATGAGACGTGATGTTCTGGGCACGATTTTGATTGCTTAAGGACTAGGAAAGCTTCCTAGGAGCGTCATGATGATGATGGAATACTTGAACTTTTTTGAGGATAGCTACAAATAAGGTTTTGTTCTTTCCCTAGTTTCTTGAATTTTTGAGAATTCTAGGGTTTATTCTTGGAGGCATCATGCGTGTCCCTTGACATCTGACTTTGTTGTGTTTATATAGAGGATGAGATTAGGTTAAACTTGTGGGCTTGAATCTCATGATTGAGAGATGTGAAGATTTGATTTAAAATTTAAATGAAAAGTTTCTAAATTTGGCCAAATCATATCTTCATAAGCTCACACGGTTTCTTACTTCTCAAGATTTAAATTTGGGTCTCCAACATGATTAAAACAATATCCACACACCTTAATCTATTTAATTGGTATTTTATTTGATTTATTTTGAATTTAAATGAATAAAATTAAAACTAAAAAAATGCATTAATAGATTTAGGAGTCCTCTATGGTATCATAAACATGCTTAGACCTTAAAACTTAGGTCCATTAGTCCAAAAATTCAAGTTTGCTCAATTTGATCTTCATGCATTTTCTCAAAATTACTCAACTTCTGCAACTCATAACTTTCTCAACTCTTGTCATATGAAAGTGATCTTGGACTCTTTGTAAACCTCAAGATGTCTCCTACTACTTTCATTTTGATTATTTTTTCATTTGAAATCTTTAACTTGATATAAATTGCCTTCACAAAAAACCTTTTTTGTTGACTTTCAAAATGACATGTAAACTTTTGGCTCATATCTCTCAAATGAGGCATTTTTGGCCTTGAGCTTAGAGAGACAAAGTTGTAGAGAAATGAATTTCCTTCAAGATAGGCTTTGGTTGAAAAAATTATGATGAAGTATGTGAAAGTTGTGCTTGGTCAAAGTTCATTTGACTTCTCCTTAAGAAAACCCTAATTTAGTAACTTTTGACTTTTGTTGAATCTTGAGTTTCCTTGATGAATCATGATCAACCCTTGATCAAATGATGAATGTGACTTCAAAATATTGATGTTGACCAAAAATCTTGAAGTTTGACTGTAGATTGATCAATGTTGACTTTTTACCCAATACAACTAATTTTCACTCATATGAGCAATTGACTGAACAAACTTGTGAAGCAAAGCCTGAAATCTGACATGAGGATTCTTTGAAGCATATGAGAAACTATGAAACCCGCTTTAGGCATTAGAAGCTCAATTTCCTTTGAGAAAAATAAAACCCTAGTTGTAGGTGAATTTCTTAGGAGGAGGACTTATCTGATCAATTCCTTGAGTATCCTTGAGTAATTGAAACTTCTATGAGCCTGAGGGAGTGTCTTGAATTAATTTGTCTTGGAAATGAGAGGGCAAATTTTGGGGTACAACACAGTCCTTAACCCAGCTCTGGTACCATGTTAAATATGCTTGGATATCAACCCGAAAAGCTAGCTCAAAGGGTGAGGTCGCCTTCACATATTTATATATTCAACAGTTCGGGAACCTAAGCAATGTGAGATTTCAAACAAATTCCAACACAAATACCAATTTCAACAAACACTACTGAATTTTTAAAAATTTATTGAAAATATTGGTAATATATGATGTTTTTTAAAAAACTAGTATTTTTCCATGCATCGGTCTTTTATAAGAATCGATAAAAAGGTATACCAAACATTTAGAAAAGTCTTCTGAATTTCTACTCTCTTAACAAATATTGTGCACTATTTTTAACTAAAAATTAACAAGGGTATTTTCGAATTTAAATCTACTGCAATCATCATTTTCACGTAATTACACAGTCAAATCATTATCAACCATTTGATCTTGATCTGAAGGATAAAAACAAAACAGTTTTAACATTTAATTTATAATTTAAAAATATTTTATTTAAATAAAGACCTTCTAATTCTAATCAAACAACCAAATTTACATAAATGTGTGAATACGGGATTTGCTGACTGCAGCAAATCTGAATCCAATATTTCCAACATTATAAAAAATTAGAGGATGTCAAGTATGAATGAGATGCCGGAACAAATTATTCAGCCTAACTTTAGATTGAAGATCAACACACGTGAATATTACATCATCAATTTCAGTGATTAACATTTTATATATAGTCAAGAAAAAATTAAAAAGCTAAAATTTATATTTATATAAAACGTAAAAGCATATTTTTACAAAAACAAAAGATATAATAATACAATAACGAAACATAATTTTTTTTTTCTTCATAAAATAACCGTTTATATATTTTCAATTAAAATTGTTTTATAAAAATATAATTTCCAGAATATGTCTAAGAGATACTACTCCATACCTATTTATAAGTAAAAATATAAGAGAAAATAGGATATACATTAAATATAAATTAATTTTATATTATCAATCAATCATTCTCTGATATTATATTAAATTATATTATAATTTTTAAATTAGTGATATGACATATGATTAAGTGACGAATTTGGATAGTAATATAAAATTATTTTATATTGATGGGTTTAACTTTTAACTCAAAATATAATATTTCTTACATATTAAAAAAAATTATATTTTGTGTCTTTTTTTAAAACATGTTTTATTGGAAATGTAAAAATAATTTTGGTTGGTTGTTATTTATAAGAAAAATAAAAGAGAAATCAAATTAAATATAATTTATATTTAATTTTATTTTGAAAAAATTATTTTTTAAATAAATGGTTAAATAAAATAAAATAGATATTTTTTTCTTATAATTTATAAGAAAAAAATTGAATGTTTTTTTTTATTTATAAATTGGTACGTAGGAGTAAATGAAATCATTCCTCCCATCTTATTTTAAGTGGGTGCTTTGCATAAGTTTTAAAATTAATCTATTTTTTTAATTATAATACAACAGTTATTATTATTATTAATATAATATTTTAATTTGTATAATCCAATTTTTTTATTGATATATATTTAGTTATCTCATTAAATCAACACAAGTAATTATTAAAATGTAGGTTGAATATGTTTGTGATTCTTTTAAATATCTTAAATTTTATTTTTAGTCTCTTAAAAAATTTTCTTTAAAAGATGGTCATTCAAAAATTTTGCATTCATATTTTTGGTCTCTCCTGTAATTTAGCAATGATTTTTACAATTTAAAAACATAATTAACGATAATTTTAACGACGATTTAAGTATTAAAAATAAAAAATATTGATGAAAAATTTTAAGAGAATATTAAACCGACTAAACAAAATTTAAAATATTTAAGAGAATCACAAATATATTAAACTTTAAAATATATTGAATGATTCAACTAATATAAAATTCATAAATATTGACAAACACATAAATTTTAAGAAAAAGGCAAAACCATGCATAATCTTTTAATTTATTTAATTATAACAAATCAGTTTTTTATGTTTTTTTAGCTACGTGCGAGTTCTTTATATTAAATAACACCAGCATTATTGACATTCACACATTTTAAAAAAAGAAATATTATTCTTTTCTTTTTATAAAAAAAATCCCATTTACACATTTTTCTTAAAATAAATAATTCTTTACCATACTAATAAGTATTTATTATTACATTCTTATTTATTAAATTTTACTCCATTCAAGTATTACATTAAAATTAATTAATTAAATTATTTTAATAAATAATGATAATTTTATAATTAAAATTAACATATTTAATACTTTTTAAAACCACACATAACTTAAATAAAATATTTACTATAATTACGAAACGTATTTAGTTCATATATCATTTATATAATTACTTGTTGAATGAACAAAAATATAAAAAAAAATTATAATAGTGACTAAATAGTCAAATAATGTGAATTAAGGCAAAAAAAAATTAAATATTATATTACTCCATTTATACTAACAATTAAATATTTGAGTTGTATTGACAAAAAAAAATTGAGCTGACTAGGATTCTTCTCGGGGAAAATATCTTTAAAAAACCTTGCACTATATATTTACACTATAATCAATCCTTTAGCCTTCGAAAATTCATGAAAAAATCTCAATCAAGCCATTGTAATGAAACTTTGACGTGACAAATAAATATATGATGGCAATAAATCGAAATATTGATGGCGAAGATGAGTTTTTGCACTTCTTTGATGAAGACATCGGCACAAGATATGTTTGGGGTTTCAGCAGCAAAATAGAAGAAGAAGATGATTATGTAGATTCAGAAGAGTTGTTTGAGATAAATCTGAAGAAGGAAGCATTAGATACAATAAGAGAAGAAGATTGCGAGAGCAGTGTTTTCTCTATTGATATCCACAACAAGATAAAATCAAATGATGTTGTTTATGTGGCTGTTGGAGAAACTGGTTCAAGCATGGAAGCACTTTCATGGACCTTAAAACACTTGGTGAACCCTAATTCTACTACTGTCTCTCTTGTACACGTTTTCCCTAAAGTCAAACAAATTCCAACTGCACGTAAGTATTTCAATTACTTTCTACTTTATTGTTCTCTTATTGATATTTGTGATGAAATATGGTTTGAATTAACAGTGGGAAAAATTCCAAGGAAATGTGTGAGTCAAGAACATGTTAACAACTACTTGAGCCAAGAGAAAATGAAGAGGAAAATACTCCTTCAAAAGTTCGTTGACTTGTGTACTGGCTCAAAAGTTAAGGTGGAGATGTTGCTTGTTGAAAATGACAACGTTGGTAAAGCCATTGTAGATCTTGTGAAGAATCTAAGTATAAGAAAATTGGTGATTGGAACTACACAATCTAATCTAAGGTACTATGTATGAAACTCATCTGTGACACTATAAATTAGTCATTAATAATAGCATATTTTAACTAAATGTTTTTACTACTTGGATGATTAGAAAACATGTTTCAAGAAGGCAAAATTCTACCGCGGAGATGGTGTTAAAAAGTATAGAAGAAAGATGTGATGTTAAAATCATATGTGAAGGAAGAGAAGTGATCGATCAGATGATAAATGGATGTGCTTCTAAACGTGATGAAGTAGATGGTTTTGTTCCAATCAAGCAACGGAAACCATCTTGGTTATTTACGTCTAGATATGATTGGAATTGGAACTACACAATCTAGATATTTTAGATGAAACATATTTCCAGGCTAGCTAGACCAAATACATATTTACAACCTTAATAATCTCTATCTGTATGTCTAAGTTGTCATTTTTCATTATTTTTTTTGAAAGACAAATATGATATATAATAAAATAGAGTGAGGCACTCTCATCTCATCATTTATCTCGTACTATATATTAATAACATTTAAAATGTAACACAATTTGGTATTTGCCCATGTGGTAGTATACACACCCATTCACTTGAGTGTATGAGATTAAAACTAGGAAAACATTTCCCATCGATTTTAGAAAAGATTATTAATTTGAGAATCGAAGCTTGTCTATAAAGAATTTTTTCCTCACTTATCCTCACAATCGAGTGAAACAAGGCGCCTAATGAAAGTAATTTTACCTTGATTGGTTACTCACCAAGATAAAATTTTGTTAGGAGTAGAGTATTTGTAGTTGTGCATTGACAAAATTTTGTGTGTACTATAAATTAATAATAATAATAATAATAATAATAATAATAATAATAATAATAATAATAATAATAATAATAATAATAATATTCCCTCGATTGCACTGAAAATCGAGAGGTAGAGTATTTAGAGGACACACATTTGAATCCCAACAACTATATTTTAATATATTTTAATTTTTTAATGACCTATTACCTCGGTTTTGCTGAAAACTGAGAGGTAAAGTAGCTAGAGGGTCACGTCTTCGAATTTCAGCAACTACATTTTATAACATTTTAAGTATTTAAAAAAATTTATGAGCTATTACCTCAGTTTTATTGAAAATCGAGAGTAAGGTAACGCATTATTTTATTTATGACACATTTGATGACAAGTTAAGTAACAAATCTTTGTCGTCCATTTATAAAATAACAATGATCAAGATATTGAAAACTCATCAATCCACATGAAATATTAGTGATCCGCGTGAAACTCTCACTAGTCAATCAAAACGTGAATGCCACAGCTATTCATCTTGGATGCAAAATGTTGAAATTTAAACTTAACATATTCAAAACAGTGACAATGAAAGTAAGAGCATGAAATATTTCAAGGTTGGTTTCTTAAGATTAGTCTTTTCTCTAGTTAGGAAAACATGAAAGTAACTTATTAATGTTAGTTGTAGTTGTATTAAGTAAAATGATTAATATTGTTGTTGTTGTTGAAATTTAGTATTTAACAATTCTATTGATTTTATTGTTGTTGTTGTTGAAGAAGTGAAAAACACAAGAAGGGGGGTTGAATTGAAAACTTAAAATCAAATGCGCAATGACACAGTATTTTTATCATGGTTCGTTTGATCTCAAAATACTTCAGTCCATCCGTCAAGGTGATTTCGCCTCTCTCCAACGAGGACTTAATCCACTAATCAAAAAACTGATTACAATCACTACTTTGACAACTTTCAAAGTCCTCTTGAGTACAACCACAATCCGGTTAATCTCAAGGAAAACTGTCTTAATCAAAGATACAAGAATTCTGTGTATAATTGTTTTTCGTTACAAAAACAGTTATCACAACTGTGATAATTTACACAAATTTAGAGCGTATAAAATAAGAGAGTAAGCTTGCAGTGTTTTGAATTGTATTGTAGTGGCGTTGGAAATAGTGAACGATTTAATCTCTTAGCTTGTTTATATAGGCAAAGGAATCATGTCCATCATTAAGCGTGATAATGGTCATTTAAGCAGTTTCCATATTGAGAAGATCATGTCTGAATGAAGTCGTTGCATGAGATGTTGTCTTGATTGAATAGTAACGCTTTAGAATCTTACATCCTTGCCTGCTGCAGATGCTTTAGAACATTGATGTCTTAGAGAAGTGAGGATCTGATTGTTTAAGATCCTTCTGTTCAGAATCAGAGTTTTCTTCACTTAAGCGCAGGTTCTGATCATCATTCTTCAGCGTAAACTCTAATTACCTCAGCGTGAAAGCTTCTAAAGCTTAACTTCTGATGCTACTTTGGTCAGAGTTTCTGCATACAAAATAATATAATTTTAGAGTGCATATTTGTTCTTTGTGTTTGTTATCATCAAAACTCTAACTAAGGGTTGTAGAATCAAACTATGTTGTAACAATCTCCCCCTTTTTGATGATGACAAAAACTAGAATTTTCAATAAAAAAATAGAGAACAAAATAGCTTAAGAGAGACTCCCCCTGAGATGATTACTTCCCCGAAGTTCCTTTTCGTCAGAGCTTTTGATGCATCTCTTATCAGAATGTGTTCCTGTTCAAACTTTTTAGAAAGTAGAGATTAAAATATTCAGAATGTTTGAGACTTTGTCCCGATATACTGTTATTGAAAATATCTTACTTTCTCCCCCTTTTTGTCAGGTATCAAAAAGCAATATAATCAGAGCCAACAAAGATGAATTATATTGAAAACAAAATGCAATGACAAGTTTCAGAAACAAGGAGGTAAAGATAAAATTTACAGATAAACAGTTTTAAAGAAAATCTAAGAAGGAGGGGTAAGATATGTGAACAACGCTTCCAACAAGCTCTTGATCTGAGTGCTTGACTCTTCCTGCTTGCCCAGAATGTCTTTGATTTCTTTTGTAGTATCTTCCTATTTATCCAGAATACCCTTGATCTCTTTGTTCGTATCCTCTTGCTTATCCATTCTTGCATGGATTAAAGCATTCTCTTTCTTCAACTCTTCTAGAGTTTGCATGACTAGAGACGAAGTTGGTGTCTCTTCAGGGGTTGTATGTTGTTCAGAACATTCTGCAGCCTCTTCTGATTGAACCACTTCTTCTGCTACAATCATGTCTTCTGGAGTAGTAGTCAGAGAGAGACTATTTGAATCTGGTTCAGCTACTTCTGAAGGATGATGCTCTTTCCAGGGAGCATTATCCAGCGGGAGGATTTATTTCTTGCACCATTGGCTCAGGACTTGATCTTGGAAGGTGTGATACGGTGGGAGAACTGACTTGAGGTTTTGCGTTTGTATTCGCAAATGTTGCGGTTAGCAAGAGTCGCCACCGACTTTTTATTTTATCCTAAGGAAAGGTTAAAAAGCACAGCAAAAACCTTTTGAGATGTTTTCTTGGGTTCGGGGAGTATATTATAGAAAGGGAAGGTATTAGCACCCTTTCTATCCATGGTTATCCATGGGCTCTTAGTTACTTGCTTAGATCACTTGCCTTGCATTTTCAATTGTTTGAAATGGTGCTTGAGTGTGTGGGTTTTGAAAATGTTTTTGAAAAGAGGCCAATGTGGTGGCAATCTTTGTAATGATCCATGTGGGGATGTATACAAAGATGTATGTCTTTTGAAAAAGTTTTCAGTTGTTTTTTTGAAAGTTGTTTTGAAAGTGTTGTGATGTGTGATTTTGAAATTAGGCAAGTGTTTTGTTTTGCAAGTTGATTTAAGTAACTAAGAGGTTATCTACTCCTAAATTTCTCAAAAGATCATTGTTATACTCTTAACCCTTTTAACAAGTTTGCTCCACCATTGTATTTGGTGGGCAACCTTGTGTTAGGATGTGAGAGGGACAGGCGCAGGTCATCGTTTTAGACCATAATTGCAACGGCGTTAAATGTCTTTGGGCAATTTCTCTAAGGGACTTGATCATTTTTAGGCAACTTTCGAAAGCGTCATCGAGGGACTATGATCATTTGATATTGTTTTGTTTTGCCAAAGACACCTAACATGCAATATGGCCCATTTATTTGAAGGCAACAAGTGGAATACCCTAGGGGGTGCAAGTGTGATTTGTGTGTCCATTTTCATGCTTGTTTTATCTTGTATTAGGTCAAACTATTTTTTATCGTTTTTCGCATACAAACCCTAATTCTAACATGTTATTATTAGAAAGCAATAAAGTGCGAAATTAAAATTACTAAGCTATTACAAAACCAAATATGGGAAGGGGGGTACAAATGTTCAAATGGGGATATTGACAAGAATTTAAATCTAAATTATTACATCAATTGGATATTTGCAATGCATAATTAAATGTAAATTAAATAAATATGTGAAATGCAAAAAAGAAAGTTTTTTTTATGTGTATGAGAAAATATTATTTATGTAAAAGGAAAAAGAAAATAAAAATGTATTATTTTTTGAATATTTTGAATTTAGGGCAAAAACCCTAATTTTAAAGAAAAAGGTATTATTTTCTAATTTAATTCAACTATTTATTTATTATTTAATAAAAATAAAATAAAATGAAGGGTATTGTGAAAAAAAGGTATTTTTATGGCAAATATTAATAAAAGTGAAAAATCAAGTATTTTTATATTTTGTCTTAAATATATTAATAATCATATATATATATATTTATATTAAACCCTAAATATGCATTATACAAAAAATAAATATTTATTTAATATTTTAATAAAATAAATAAAAGAGTATTTTTGTGTGAAATATTTTCAGAAAGTAAATAAAAATAAAAATTGTGTTTACATTATTTCTAATTTATTCTAATAATAATACATATATATATTATATACAAACAAAGAAAATAAACAAATAAATATGCAATAAATGCAAAAAATGATGAAAAAAATATTTTTAATTTTTAAATGTCATGAGAAAAAATAAACAAAGTCAGCCAAAAAAGAAAAAGTCAAAAATGTTAAAAAATGAGCAAATGGGCTCAGGGGGGTGTAAACCAAAAAAGATGGTGTGAAAAGCAAAAATAGCACAGGCCCAGCCCACTTCACTCCTTCTTCAACCTCCAGCACAGATTATTTGAAAAAACGCGCGCCATGTTCAGTTCCTTCTAACTCTTGATTCCTGGCTTTTTAGCAAAAACTCATAACACAAGAAATGTTCAGCATGAAGAGACGGTTCTAACCATATAAAGAACTTGACCTATCTCTCTAAGATGAGGGAGAATTTCTCTCCCCCTCTTTTCTGACCTAATTTTTCTACCATTTTCAAGCTCCAAATTCTCTCTACTCAGGCAAAAGAAATGAAATGTAAAGATATGTACATGTTCAAGGCTATGAGTAGGACCTTGTTTCTTCACAAACTTAAGGCTAAA